TCTATGTACTTCCTCAGTGATCATATTGTCCGGACAGGGTATTTGTGGATGCTTACAACTCTTGCAGGTAATTTCAAACCGACTTTGCTTCTTATTTCACATATTGAATATCAAAGTAAATTATTTTTAATTTCACATATTATTTTATTGCAAATTAGTTATGCGCTTGGGAGTGTATTTTGACTTTCCGTCCGGAGTTATGTGGGCCCGTACCAAATCTTCAGGGGTGTCCCTTGGGCAGGAGGTAATTTTTTTTTTTCAACTATTCAATTATTGTCTTAATTGGTTATATTTTTTGACAATTTTTTTTTCGTGTTTTCAATCAAAACTATTTTCTTTGTAGGTGGAACCGTCCTAGAAAAGTGGGGGACATCACACGATTTAATCTAACCACCTACCGAGACCAGCTTGCGGTTTTGCAAGAACACAATGTAAGTATTTTTTTTTATTTAAACCATCATAATGTATGAATCAATTTTTTCAATTTTCGTATACATTCACATAAATTATTTTTATATATCTGTATTATCATAAATAACTCTCCAGTTCGTTTGGATGCCGTACTCTCCCGCTACCCTAGCAGACATTGATCCATCTTGCTCTGTTGGGTGTGCCATCTGGATGTCCCAAACTTGGCTACTTTATTTTGGTATCTGAGAGCCACACATCCTAGGCAGGGTGTTGCGCCAGTTCGGCTTCTTGCAGCGGGTTGCCGGACAACACTTTCATCATGGAGAAAAAAGAAATAGAAAAGTTGCATAAGGAGACGCGTGGTAAGAAATGTCGAGATAACATCTTATAGAGGTGGGAGACTCGACACAACACCCTTGCAGGTCTTCAGGCTGATATGAATCTTGAACCAAGGCAGCATCGGAATACCTAGTGTGGTATCAAAATCGCATTGTCACTTTGGTCACCAATCCATCAGAATACCGTCAGCCCCACGGTTTTCAGGGATCTGCTGAGTCATTTACTATTTCTTTAATCACACCCATATTTATATTTCTTTTTTATACATATAACTTTCTAAAATGTTATCATTTCTAATTTATATGTACAAATATAAATTTACAATATATATGTTAATTTTCTAAAATATATTTATTATATATTTTTAATTTACCATATATTTATTTCCTCTTATAATTTCTAGGGCAATTTAGTGCAAAACATGCGGCAAATTACTCTAGATGGGCTACAACGTAATCCAGCTAATTCTTGGAATCACAATGCCTTCCTACAGCTGTACGATTTGACTCAGCAGGCAATGACTGTCAGCAAGACATTTGTTTGGGCTGATAGTGAGAACCCAAGCCAGGATTTTGTTTCGGCTGACCCAACCCAGGAGTATATCCCACCTAGGCCTCCCAGGACTGACCGAGGCGAGTTCCAGTTAGGGAGTGGGAGGATGAGAAAACTTATGGCCACCCAGGATACTGTCGGGCCATCTTCTACCCCGCATATGTCTCCTTATCGTCCAGCATCGCCATACCACCATCCCTCTCCTCCTTTAAATGCATTTTGATTCAGATTTTATTAATCTAGATCCTAATGCGGGGGGTTTCTTTCAGACTGGTTACGAGGGTGGTCATCACAGTCAGCATCTAGGCGGTGACCATATCCATAATGATCAGGAGGATGATCAGGATCGGGAGGATCATCGGCATCAGGAGGATGATGACGAGAGCACCAATGATTCCGATGATGTTGAGAGAATCTCTCAGGATCATGATGAGGGCGCTGATCAGGGTGAGGGCTCGAGCCAGTGCCCAAGACATGGCCCCAGTCATGGTACCAGACCTTTTACACCGCTGGCTTTGGGTAAGGGACAGCGGAACATAAAAAAGACGAAAAAGTACTGCATGACAGCTTCTCGGGAGAAAAAGTCCAAGAAGTAAAAAAATTAGATTGAATTGTACTTTTATTTTATGACTTTTGTTATTAGTTTTAAACAGTGCCTTGCATTTCTTTTCCTTAACAATTTATTTCGGTTTTATTTAATCTTTAGTAAACTCGAGCTTTTGAATTTTTAAAATGATACAATATTTTTAAGTTTAACAAAAATAAAAGGCAACAATTAAAAAAAGAAAATTTATCACAAAGACAATATTATGTACAATTTTCTAAACTCTTACTTTATACAATACTATTTTTGCGTCGTGCCAATTTCAAGTTCCCAGGTCGCCAAAAGATCATTGTTAGTAGGAAATGTGGTTTTACCAAGTTCAGCAGGACTGATTATGCTAGATGGAAGCAAGTAAGCATGATTGTTCCTGATGGTGTCAATGCCAAGTTTCTTGGCTGCCATGCACCATTGGCTAACCGTCAACCTGGAAGAGCTTTCTTGGAAGTAACCTCTTAAGAGCATTTTATTGAAGCACTTTCTTGTTCAGTGTTCATTGTAGTACTGTGTGAATGTGATCTGAGGCCATTGACCACATTATAATTTTGCTATTTTCCTTTATATTATGTCAAATTCTAAAAATTTTAGTTTTTTATGGTACTTTAAATGAAATGATTCTAAGTTTTATTATGTAAAAAAAAGTTACTATCCAAAATTTAAGAAACTTGATCTTTTGACATTTTATTTTGAATGATGGTAAGTTTTTAAGTTGAAACCAAATAAAAGTAAATTTTTTTTAAAGCAAACTTAGTTACAAAAGGCAAGATTATATTCTAATTTTTCACCGAAATTTTAATTTACTTATTATTCAAAATTTATTATCAATGCATTATATGATTTGTGTTCACCAAATATAATTCATATCATTGCAATTTTATTTAGAAATAACATAAATTTACTTAAATCAAATGAAAACTTTAAATTTAGAAAATTTAATTTTCAATTAAAATAGCATTTTTAGTTGAAATATTACAACATTTTATCATCCAAAATATTTAATTTACAAATATTGTATTTTATACCAATTTAAAGCTAGGAAATATTTTTTAAATAAACAATTAAAACATTTGCATACGGCATATAATATGCGAAAAGTCAACTTTCGCATACGCCAAATGCGAACACTTAAAATAATTATGATTATCCAGTTTTAATCCAACGTCTTTAATTCATTATAATTAAATTCTTTAAATTTTTGCATTTGCCAAATGCGGAAGTCTGTTTTTTCGCTTTCGCTGAATGTGAGAAACACATTTCTTTCTTCCTCCGAAAATCTAGACATAGTTTTGCCCACCCCAAGCTCTGGGAGCACATTTTAGTCATTTTTTGCACGTGGGACCCACACAGATGGAAGGCATGGGTGGGGCATGTGAGGGCAGGGCTGGGGTGGGTTAAAATGTTAAATGTTGAATTTGTCCTTCTGTTGACCTTATCTAAAAGTCACGTGAATTGCATGCCTCCCTGAGAATTTAGACAGTTTGTGGATGGAAAACGAAAACAAATAAAAATATAACTTAAGGTATTTAATAAAGACAATTTGAACTTGAGTTATCTAGCACGAGCGGAAGCCCAACTTATGGTACTTTTAGAATATCTAGTCATGTTCACACACATTCCTAATATTATTATAGCTTCCGAATATTATTATTGCTTCTACTATTATTTACTACTTTTGTCCCAAAAAAAAATCAATGCGAAAATTTCTACTAAAAATTTGTACCAATATCCAAAATTCAATGTAAGTTTTTTTTTTTTTTTGAGACAAAAGGAGTACAGCTTTCATAGGAATGAGAAAAGGTATATTTGCAGGACGAAAGACTACTACATTCACAAGTCTTATATACGAATCCGTGAAGATAATTAACAAGATTGGGACATGCAATAGTTTATTGCTTATATATATATATACATATATATAAGTTATTTAGCTCGTTAGAGTGCTGAAATGGATGTATATGTGGGACAAAAAGTAAAAATTCACCTATATATATATATATATATATATTGCATGCATCACAATACAACTTTATCTGGTTCCAAAACTTGTGCCTTCACGCAACACATTTAATGAAAGTTGTGCTTTAGCTCAATTGGTAGAGGTACCTCCAGCTTCTGTGAGTTAAAAAAAATAATAAAGTTAAGTTACTAACACAAAAAGTGGTTAGGGGCACAAATATAGATAAACAGTATGTTTTGAAAACATTCACCTCCCAAGTCATTTGTATACAACAAGAGTTGAAGTTTGATCGTATTCAAATTTGTTAGAACTTCTTCATTGTTACTTCTTTCTCTTGGAGACTCCTTTGCACAAGCGAGAGCAATATCCATGATTGACAGAATGTTGTCAAGGATTTCATGATAGTGCCGATTGAATATTAATAACAGTTCAGCATCGATAATGTTAACCAGTCTATTGGGCATAAACTCTTGCACCCAACTCTTTAGGCTTAAACTTTCACCAAACATTTCATTGCTAGGACTTTTTCGTGTGAAAACTTAAATCATCATGATTCCAAAACTGTAAATATCACATCTTGTTGATACCGTCCCTGCTGATGCATACTCTATAAGAAAATGGAGTATTAATAAATCACTGTAAAACCTTTATAATAGGGCAAAGAAAACAAAAAAAAAAAAAATAGGGCAAAGAAAATCTCACCCGGGGCCATATAACAAAGGGTAGCTAATGTTTTGGTGTATGTAACATTGTCCTGACCTAACAATTTAGCGATGCCGAAATCACTAACATGGGCAACCATTTCTTGATCTAGTAGGACATTATTAGGCTTCAGATCACAGCGGACAACAGGTGTCAAATTGCCAGAATGGAGATACTCTATAGCACATGCAACATCGATCAATATATTTAATCGTTGCATAACATTAAGAATGGAGTTATTTGAATTCAACCAGCCATTTAGACTCCCATTGGGCATATACTCAAGAACCAATGCTTTGAAGTCAGGGTTAGAACAACTACTAATAACTTTTGTTAGGTTTCGATGACGAAGATTGCGTAATACCTCACATTCTCTGTCAAAATTCTTCAATGATTGTTCTATTTGCAAATTAAACACTTTCATTGCTACAATCCCACCATCTTCAAGAGTGCCTTTGTAAACAGATCCAAAACTTCCATTACCCAACAAATTACTCTGATTATATCTACATGTTGCTTGTAGAAGCTCATACTATGATACTCTTTTATGTGGGAACAATGAGAAACCTTCACGATCATCATTACTGATTTTAACATTATTTTTGTACTTAAGGTAGATACCTAAGCACAAGATACCAACAACTGATGTCGTCATAGACAATATTATTACAAGTTTGTGCTTATTTATGTTGTTGGTTTGATGTTGAGTTGTGTGATCTGGGCATGGGGGGACATGAAATCTTGGAGCTCCGCACAGTACTAGATTCGAAAGGAAAGATTCAGCTGTCAAGTTTATAAAAGGGCCATGCGACGGAATTTCGCCACTCAAATTGTTAAAGGAGACATTTAAGAAAGTAAGTTCTTGAAGTTTATTTATTGATACTGGTAGGGAACCTGATAAGTAGTTGTATGATTTTTCCAAACTCCACATGTTACCTATAGTGTCGTGGATATGCCCTTGCAACTGGTTGTGAGCTAAAGAGAGATCCTGTAAGGTTTCTAGATGTCCAATGGTGATAGGAATATCTCCAGAGAAGTAATTGCTTGAGAAATTCGTTGATGTTACGCTTATAAGATTACTGATTTCTGGAGGTAAAAAACCACTTAACAAATTGGAAGAAAGGTCAAGCACCAAAATATCTTTGAGGTTCCAGAAACTCAAAGGTATGGTGGAGTTTAATCCATTGGATCTGAGATAAAGTTCTCTCATAGAAGAAATATTACCTAAGCAATCCGGAATCTCGCCTCCAATTATATAATTCTCTTCAAGTGCTAAGAGTCCCAAGTTTTGGCAAGCACAAAAAGGCTGCAAAGAAATACTTATTTTGTTCCCACCAAGATCCATAAGTTGAAGATTCTGCAAGGTTTTTATTGGATTTGGCAATGACCCGATCAACTGGTTATCAACAAGGTCTAATTTATTCAGACTGCTCAAATTTCCAATTCCACTTGGAATGGTACAAAAAAGTTTACCAGAATTTGCAGACATGACCCTAAGTAGTGAGGAAAGATTTCCAATCGAATCCGGCAAAATACCAGCTTGTGGATTGTTGTCAAGGGAGATCACAGACAAGTAATTGCATTTTGCCAATAAAGTGATAAAGTTCAAAGCAAGAGAGGAAGGGTCACTAGCTAAACTATTATCAGAGAGATCCAAAGTCTGAAGGAAGCTAAGGTCTCCCAGAGATTTGGGAATGAACCTGTTGGGCTGGTCGTTCCCCTCAATTGGGGCAGCAACAACAAGGAAAAATAAAACCAAGCCTAACTAGGCTTTGGTTATGGGGTGTTTGACCGAGAAAAGAAAATCCGCTTCTATCGGGTTTTGGGTTTTGTTTTTGATTCCTATAAAAGCAAGGCTTTGTGCACAATTTGTGCATGTTTTTCAGCCGAGAGAGAAGGAAAATTAGGGCAGCCGCACAAGAGTTTTGTTCGAGAGGAAAAGAAAGAAAGCTAGGGTTCAGTTTTTGGTTTAACTCTCTTTTGGTTAGATCCTTCCAGTCCTACTTTCTGATAGGGGTGTGTGAAAGAGTATTATTGTTATCCACCTTTGGGTGAAGTCCTGTGTATCCACTGGTTGGTGAAGATTCTTTCCCATTATTGTGATAGTGGAGATTTGACTGTTGTTACAGTCCTGTGATTTTTCCGGATTTGGATTTTCACGTAAATTCGTGTGCCTCCTTTATTTAATCAGTTCTTGAATTATTTTGCTTGTTTGGTTTTCCTATTTTATTGGTAGTAGGAAAGGAGATTTTCTTGGGGTTCGCTTCCGTAGCGTATTGTGTTTATGCCCTTTCCGCCACAACAGTGGCATCAGAGGTACGGTTCGTTAGTTGAGGTGTTACACAAATAAAATGGAAGAGTCATCGGGTACTGGTACGATGATTAAATTGTATGTGGAAGCCTAGAATGGAAGATTTGTTGTATTGCAAAGATTTGTTTGATCCTGTTCTAGGGGATGAAGGTAGGCTAAGTGATATGACTGATAAAAAGTGGGCTGATATGCACAGGAAAACTATTGGTAATATTTGACAGTGGATTGATCAAAGTGTGTTTCATCACTTTTCGGGAGAAACAAAAGCTGATAAACTTTAGGAGAATTGGCAGTCAAGCCTCATGCGATGTTGTCGGCATGGGAGCGGTATCATTGGTAACGAATACATGTTCCGGATATGTATCTGAACCTTATTTCCGTTGGAAAACTTGATGTTGAGGGTTATCATAGCACTGAAGGTGGTGGCCGTTGGACAATTACCAGAGGGAATCTTGTTATTGCTAGAGGAAAGAAGTTAAACTCTTCGTATGTGTTGAATGCAAAGTTAAAGCGGTGAATGCAACTCACAATGCCTCCATTGATCTCTGGCACAGAAGGTTTGGACACATTAGTGTCAAGGGGCTCCAGATTCTTGGTAAGAAGTAATTTCTCCCTAAGGTGAAAGGTACTGCTCTAGAACCTTGTGTTGACTGTATCTATGGTAAACAACATAGGTTTTCCTTTCAAAATTCTCCTCTATCTAGAAAGTCTGTTCCTCCAGAGTTAGTTCATACAGATGTATGTTATATGAAAGATAGGTCGTTGGATGGAGCATTGTACTTTGTTACTTTCATTGATGACTATGCTCGAAAGGTTTGGTGTTTTTCTTTGAAATCTAAAGAGGTGTCAGATGTGTTCAAAGACTTTCACCTCAGAGTTGAAAGAGAGACTGGCAAGAAGTTGAAGTGTGTTCGAGCAGATAATGATGGTAAGTACAAGGGTCCGTTTGAGAAGTATTGCCGAGACCATGGCATTAAACTTCAGAAGAATGTTCCAAAGACTCCGCAACATAATGGCATGGCAAAAAGAATGAACAGAACTACTACCGAAAAGGTTAGGTGTATGCTCTCGAATGCAAAGCTGCCTAAATTATTTTGGGGTGAAGCCATGCAGACAGTAGTTGATTTGATCAACCTATCTCCCTCAGTTCCGTTGGATGGTGATCTACCACAACGAGTTTGGACAGGAAAAGATGTCTCATTTGGACATTTGCAAGTTTTTGACTTTGTTCATATTCCCAAAGACGAAAGGTCGAAGTTTGATGGAAAATCCAAGCAGTGTATATTCTTGGGGTGTGGCAATGATGATTTTGGGTTTAGACTTTGGGATCCTGTAGAGAAGAAAGTTTTCAGAAGTAGAGATGTGATCTTCTTTGAAGACCAGACCATTGATGATATGGGAAAAGGCAAGATGCCAGAATCTTCACCTGAGATTCCTGTTGATCTAGATCTAGTTCCTTCACAATCAGATGATTCTCCCGAAGGGGGAGCTGAGAGAGAGCAGAATGGTGAGTTTGATGATGATCCTACTTCTGAAACAGAGACACCACCGGTTTCATCACCTCTTGTCCAGCCAAGGAGGTCCACCAGAGACACGAAACCTTCCACCAGGTACAGTGCTCATGAGTATTTGTTGCTTACTGACGGGGGAGAGCTAGAGTCGTATGAAGAAGTTCTTAGTCATGAGCAGAAAGATCAGTGGTTAGCAGCCATGCAAGATGAGATCAAATCCTTGCATGAGAATAACACGTATGACCTAGTGAAGCTGCCTAAGGGCAAGAAAGCACTCAAGAATAAATGGGTGTTCAGACTGAAGACAAGTGAGAACAGCTCACAACCGAGGTACAAAGCTAGATTGGTTGTGAAGGGATTTAATTAGAGAAAGGGCATAGACGTTGATGAGGTATTCTCTCATGTTGTAAAGATGTCTTTGATCCGAGTTGTGCTTGGAATAGCAGCCAGCTTGAATCTTGAGATTGAACAGCTTGATGTGGAGACATCCTTCTTACATGGTGATTTGGAAGAAGAGATTTACATGGAGCAACCAGATGGGTTTCAGGAGAAGGGGAAAGAGAAGCTTGTATGTCGTCTCAACAGAAGCTTGTATAGGTTGAAGCAAGCTCCGAGGCAGTGGTACAAGAAGTTTGATTCCTTTATGATAGGGCAGGGATACCAACGGACTACAGATGATCACTGTGTATTTTTGAAGAAATTCTCTAATGGTGATTTTATAATTCTTTTGCTTTATGTCGATGACATGTTGATTGTTGGTCATGATACTGCAAAGATTGCCAGGCTGAAAAAGGAGTTGAATAAGTCCTTTGCGATGAAGGATTTGGGTTCGACTAGACAAATCCTTGGGATGAAGATTTCTCGTGACAGACAGATGGGAAGCTTTGGGTATCTCAAGAGAAGTATATCGAGAAGGTTCTTGATAGGTTTAACATGAGCGGTACTAAGGAAGTTTCGACTCCACTTGCGGGGCATTTTAAGCAAAACACGGTATCCTAAAAGTGAGAAAGATAAGGAAGAGATGATAAAGGTTCCTTATGCTTCGGCAGTTGGCAGCCTGATGTATGCGATGGTTTGCACAAGGCCAGACATAGCTCATGCAGTTGGTGTTGTTAGTCGGTTTCTCTCCAATCCTGGTAAGAGCATTGGAATGCTATGAAATGGGTTCTCAGGTATCTTAGGGGTAATTCCAGATTGAGTCTTTGCTTTGGCAATGGGAAGACCATGTTGGATGGATATACAGATGCTGACATGGCAGGTGACCTTGATGGTCCGAAGTCTACTTCTGGATACTTGATGACTTATGGAGGGGGAGCAGTTTCATGGCAGAGTAGGTTGCAGAAGTGTGTTGCTTTGTCTACTACAGAGGCAGAGTTTATTGCAGCTACTGAATCTTGTAAGTATGCACTTTGGTTGCAGAAGTTTCTACAAGATCTTGGCATGAAGCAAGAGAGGTATGTGGTTTACTGTGATAGCCAGAGCGCTATTCACTTGGCGAAAAATTCCACATTCCATTCGCGGTCTAAGCATATTGATGTGAGATATCATTGGATTCGGGATGTGTTAGAGTCCAAGGCATTGTTTCTTGAGAAGATTCATACGGATGACAACGGTGCGATATGTTGACAAAGACTGAGAGTAGAGACAAGCTCCTGTTTTGCAGACAGGAAGCCGGTTTGGTTTTACTCCCCAATTGAGGTGAAGGGGGAGATTGTTAGGCTGGTCGTTCCCCTCAATTGGGCCAGCAACAATAAGGAAAAATAAAACCAAGCCTAACTAGGCTTTGGTTTTGGGGTGTTTGACCGAGAAAAGAAAATTCACTTCTATTGGGTTTTGGGTTTTGTTTTTGATGCCTATAAAAGCAAGGGTTTGTGCACAATTTGTGCATGTTTTTCAGCCGAGAGAGAAGGAAAATTAGGGCACTGCGCAAGGATTTTGTGTGAGAGAAAAAGAAAGAAAGCTAGGGTTTAGTTTTCGGTTTAACTCTCTTTTGGTTAGATCCTTCCAATCCTACTTTGTGATAGGGGTGTGTGGAAGAGTATTATTGTAATCCACCTTTGAGTGAAGTCCTCTGTATCCACCGGTTGGTGAAAATTGTTTCTCTTTATTGTAACAGTGGAGATTTGACTGTTGTTACAGTCCCGTGGTTTTTTCCGATTTGGGTTTCCACGTAAATTCGTGTGCCTCCTTTATTTTATCAGTTCTTGAATTATTTTGCTTGTTTGGTTGTCCTATTTTATTGGTAGTAGGAAAGGAGATTTTCTTGGGGTTTGCTTCCATAGTGTGTTGTGTTTATGCCCTTTCCGCTACAACAGAACACCGTAAAATTGTTTTCTCAAAGTTGAAGAACCTCGAGATTGAAGCAATTTGAGATTGAATAGGGTATAGTTCCACCAATCATATTTTTCCTGAGATAAAGACCAACCAGATTTGGAAGGTAGTGACCAATTGCTGACGGAAGATTGCCGGAAAGATAATTGATATCAAAATTCATATGTGTTCTGATTGAAGGCGAAGTCCATTTCTTGCATGTTTGATAACTTGCCGATTTCGTCCGGGATAGCTCCTACAAAAACTTTGTTTGACATGAAGTTCTACAATCCAAATTTTGTATCAGTAAATTTATTTCTTTATGTATTGATCTTTGCCGAATTTTAAAATTTGCAAACTACACCAGTCGATCTAAGAAAATAGTTCACTATATACATAGTCTAAAATTTTTATGATTAAGTACTGGTTAAAAATATGAGATATTTCTTAAAGCTATTTTTCTCTTGTTTTTTTCTTTTCGTACTGAAATTGTGTCTAGTTACTGTGAGCTATAGACATCATTAATCAGTAGTTTCTTAAGATAAAATTTTGTCCAAACAAATCAAATGTTGTAGAGGAGGTACGCATATCTGATGAACGAGTTGAGTTTTAAAATTATCAATTTTTTCTAGTTAGGACAAGAAGTAAGGACGTAGGTAGGTGGTCTTTTTTCTAAAAGCGATTTACACTCAACCAAATGATTTGCAGAGATGACATGTTATAGATCTCAGCCGGAAAGTTCCCGACAAGCTGATTGTTTGAAGGAACTAACGTTGTTAACTTGAACATGTTAAAGATGGATTGCGGGATCACACCGGTGAAGCTGTTGTTCCCGAGGTACAAGGCTTCAAGCTCTCGTAATGAACCAATCCAAGGCGGGAATTTCCCATTGAGATTGTTGAGTGTCAAATCGAGCCATTTTAGTCGATGGAGCCTAGCAAACTCATCCGGTAATTCTCCGGTGAAATGGTTTCCCCTCATGTTTAGAGAAACAAGAAATGACAAATTCCCAAGGTGGGGAGAGATGAGACCGGTGAGGTTCATGTTGGAAAGATCTAAGGCGGTGACTCTCCGATGCCGAGAGCCACAAGTGACTCGAACCCAGTCGCAGACAAAGGAACCAGCGGTCCAGTTTTTCGTCAATCCATGATGAAAAGGGCGTTCAGTAATGCGGGATTTCAGTTCAAGAGAAGAGCGAGTTGATCTGCAGTGATGTTGGGAATTTGGGTCTTGGCCAAGCAAATTGGGAGAAAACATGGCAACAAAAGAGGAATTAATATGATAGGGAAACTCTTTGGAGCAAAATTAGACATGATGTGATATATGTGTGCAAGTGTTCAGTTTTCAGTCGTAACGTTATTAACTCCCGAAATCCTATATATAGAGTTCATGAAACAGATAAGTTACTTACTTTATGTCCCCGTTGTTAACATACTTCCTCAATATTCAGTTCATCGTACTATAAATGAATATTTAATTTAGCACAGAGAAAATATTATAAAGTACGTGATCTTGTTTCACTACTACAAAAATGAGTAGTTTAGATACTTTTTTGTGTCTCAATAAGTAGTGTAATAGGACACATGTGATTCACATTGCGTGGGACACTACTAAATAGTGTTTCCTATAATCGAGTCACAATAAGTCATAAAACATTTAAAGTGTATTATTAGATTATCACTTATTATGACACTTTAAAGTGACCCATTAAGTAGGGTAATAGTTCACAAATAACCTCACATAGTACACTTATGATAGTGTTTCATAATATGCATACACTTTTTTATTTTTAATAAGACACTTTTTAGCAAATGTCCTAATACACATATAATGAGACACATTTTAGAAAAAGTGTCCCACCATAAAGGTATTAATAGCCCATTTTTGTTGTAGTGTTTAGTGATACTACTTTTCTTTCTTACGCTGGTAAAAAAAAATAAAAAGCCCTTTTCAAACATAAATGATAAGGACCACTATCCTAGATTTCGGGAGTTCCAGATTTCATAAATGTAAGAGAAATAATAGAAATCATCGGCACCAACTTAAATATATATCCACACATTTTTTTTCAATTTTCCGTCCCTCAAAAGTCCGGATATTGACGAGGTTTAAAACATCAAAGTATTTATTGATAACTTTGTCAAACGCTGCCATATTATTGACGTTTCTTTTCCACGGTCACCGCATAATTATTATATTTAATGTTGAATTGTTCAATGTATTCTAGACCTCTGAAAGTAGAATTATTGAATTAGACTTATAAAATGCTCCCAGATATATAAATTATTGAACTTGCCACCTTAAAAATTGTGGACAAACCAAGACAGCATTGGCTAAACATGAAATGAGAAGGCTTTTTACCAGTTCCGTTGTGAGCACGCGAGAACGATAAGTGAATTGCAGATGAGATAACCGGGATTTGAGAAAATATACCAGCTTCATTTAGTGCATGCTACTACCAATTTCACAATATTTATTAAAGTTACTTTTCCTAACATTGTTAGTTACTCCCTCCATTTCAAAATAAAGTAGATTGTTTTAAGTTTGGAAAAATATTTTCAAATGTAAGTCGTTTTAGGATTTCTAGGCAAATTAAAGATCAACTTCCCAAACCAAAGTGGTTGTGGTGGAATGGAAGAGACTCTTCCACCCTTAACCATAGGTGGAGGGTTCGAATCTCACTATAAATATGGAGGAACCTTAAATACTTTAGCCAGCTGTCCCACCCATCGAGGTATCTACAATTCAGCGAGGGGGATTAGTCACTGTTATAGACGGTGGACACTTTGCAAATATACAAAGGTCAACTTCCTAACTTTACCCCCAATAAATTAAATGATGCTAATCATTTTTTATTTAGTCTTGATTATAATTTTAAAATAATTAATGATGATAAAATAGATATTTAACACACAAAATAATTATTAAATAATTATCTTCTTAGTTTATATGCATAGTTTAAAGCGAGTTACATTGAAATTTTTAAATGGAGGGATTAGGACCTAAAAGTAAAAGTCTCATACAAATTGGCTCCACGTAACAATGGCACTAATAAAAATTTTCAACAAGTCGCCCACTTAAAACCACGGGCTTAGATCGGCTCTTTAAAATCCATACTTAGGATCCTTTTTTAACTCAGAAAAAAAAAAAAAAAAAACAAGGTTCTTGCTCTTTGCCTTTGCATCAAGGGTTAGTGGATTGCCTCTGAATGCCGCATCCGTGCATCGAGCCAGCATCGTTGCGTTGCTCTACCGTCATACATGATTACAAGAAAAGTTCACGTGTAAAACTTATACGCTATGTCATGAGCTGAATATTAACCATCAATGTTTACCTTCTTCTTTTTTTAAAAAAAAAAAAAAAAGAAAAGAAAAGGCCGAAAATATGGAATTTCGTGGGATCGATGGATTGATGTTATCAATCTGGATTAAAAAAAAATAAAAACCATCTAAGATAAAATTGTCTTATGTCGTCCACACCTTTTTTTTTTTTTTGGAAAGGTGTCATCCACACTCTGATTCATGCAGTAATTAAAAAAAAAAAACAACTACAGTGATTTTCATTTATGATCAGAAAGTATTCTCATGATGAACTTAACTAACGTCGAGTGAACCATTTAGTCAGTTCAATGCATACTTTCTCCAAATTAGACATATAGTTGTTCTTGTTCACCTAATTCCCGCTCCATGCAGATTCTCTCAAGAATACTTGCAGCCAATAGCTTTTGATAAACACCAATTAATTAATTAATTAATTAGTAACGTTCAAATCCCCCCCCCCAACCCTCAGTAATATAAATTAAATTCTATATAATAAAAATATTAACTATGTCAAAAAAGTCCGCATTGAACAAAACGAAAACAAAATGAAAAAAAACATAGTAAATTGAAAAAATAGCTACGGAGGCAGTATAACATTGAAAATAGTCCACTATATTATTGAATGAAAGCTTATGTGCAATGAAAATATGATTTTGTGATACATATATTATTACAAAATTAGGAGGAAATAATTAGAATGTATAATCGAGAGTGTAACGGGAAAATATCACAGAAAACTCAGTCCCTTAAAAATTTTGATGCCCCGGAGTTTTTATTTTCTGAAAGCAATTAGGAGTGCAAGTTATGGTGATAGCGAAGACAAACAATTTCTTTTCTTTTTTGAGTACTGAATATGCGCAATATGATATACATGCGATCAGAAATCAAACATCTATCGAGATGAACTATTTAAATTCGAAACTTCAACTAATTAATAACAGTACAACACAAAAAAAAAAAGAAAAACACACAAAAACAAAATAGTACAACACATTTTTGTCTGAAACGAAAGTTCAACACATTTTGCCCTTCATTAATCGCACACAAATGGCAATATCTGTTGAACACACTTTTTGTTTTCCCAGTTTCTACTTGGATCCAAGCAAGCAAGCTATTCTCTTCTCTCAACAGCTACAAAGTGGATCAGCTTACTGAGATACAATTTTTTGCTTTCCTAATTTATGCACGTTATGAACATGCATATTTAAGAAACTACAATTACATCACAGTATTTCTTAATTTTTTTTCCGAAAAAAAGATGATAAACATGTAATGAAAAATTTGAAAATTTATCTGAAGAGTTGTTCATTCACTTATATACACTCTATGAGGGAAAATGGTTCAAAATAAGGCATGTTTCTACTTTTGTATCTTCATTACGATCTTTCTTCTCTTAGAAAACCTCTGTTGAGTCGAAAATAATAGAGGTAGGCTTCACTTCATTGTTAGGGCCAACTTGACAATAGATAGCGCTATGTAATTCGCAGTAAATGTAAAGTTAGTAGGCGGAGAATAGGTTAGCCCATGAAAGTGCCCGTTCTGTAACCTTAACTTAATATTGCAAGTAATGGATGAATTGTGTCTTCCGAAAAAAAAAAAAAAATGCTTGTTCCTTCAAAATTTACTACAAATCATCATTTATTGTTTTGATATTCAGTAAGCTCAAATTAATACGTACACATGAAAGAAAATTTCACCTGCTTTCCTGCTAACAAAACTCTCTTCTGAAGGTTCCAGAATTGAGCACAAGATTTTTATGAGAATCGCACTTTAGTTAAATTCGGACGAGATTTCTTCAATCCCTGTGAACAAAAAAATCAACCGAAGTTACTAACTAAATCTAAAAGAAACTAAAGATAGATTTCACATAAAGACATTATTCAGACTACGTTTACCTGATTGGCCATCGGTAAATACGGCAATAGTTTAAGTCTGATCTTAATCAAACTTCCAAGAACTTCTTCTATATCTTTTCTCTCCCTTGGATACACATTTGTGCAAGTCAGAGCGACGTCCATTATTGATACAATGATATCAAGTATTTTAGGATAGTGTTCATTGAAGGTCAACAGCAAATTAGCATCAATAACATTAGCCAGTCCATCAGGCATAGACTCTTGCACCCATCTCTTTAGACTCAAAGTTTCACCAAACATTTCATCACTAGGACTCTTTTTAGTGAACACTTCCATCATCATGATCCCAAAACTGTAAATATCGCATCTTGTCGACACTAATCCTTCCGAAGCATACTCTATAAGGGGAAAAAAAGGATTAAAGAAATCCATATGTGCTTTTCATTGTAGGTAGGTTCACAAAAAAAAAAAAAACAAAAAAAACCAAGGAAATGAAAATCTCACCCGGTGCAACATAACAAAGTGTGGCTAGTGTGTTTGTGTATGTGATGCTGTCCTCCATACCCAATAATTTCGAAATGCCAAAATCAGTAATATGAGCAACCATTTCTTGATCTAGCAAGACGTTACTAGGCTTCAGGTCACAATGGACAATTGTTGTCGTATAACCACAATGCAGATACTGTAAACCACAAGCCACATCGATTAGTATGTTCAATCGCTGCATAACATTAAGAAAATTGTTATTTGAATGCAACCATCTATCAAGGCTTCCATTTGGCATATATTCAAGAACCAATGCCCTGAAGTCCATGTTAGAACAGCTGCTAATCACTTTTGCCAGATTTCGATGGCGAACACTTTGCAATACCTCACATTCTGTGTCGAAACTCTTCAATGACCCTTCTGATTGCATATTGAACACTTTAACAGCCACGATCTTACCATTATCAAGAGTACCCTTGTAAACAGATCCAAAACTGCCAGTACCCAATAAATTACTTTGGTTGTATCTATTTGTTGCTCGAAGAAGTTCATCATATGATATTCTTCTTGGTGTAATCGAAGGGAAACCTTCAGGATCATCATTAGAAGTTATACCACTCTTTTTGCACTTCAAGAAGATGAAACCCAAGCATGTGATACTGGCTACTGATATCGTCACCGCCAACACTATTACAACTGTACGCATATTTTTGCTACTCATCCTATGATGAGTAGAATGGTTAGAGCATGGCTGAACATGATATTTTTGAGCTCCGCACAGTCCTCTGTTTGAAATGAAGGATTCAGCTGTCATGTTCTTAAAAGGGCCTCGAGAAGGAATTTCGCCGCTCAAATTGTTAAAGGAGACATTGAAGAAAATAAGACCTTGAAGTTTTTCCAAAGACTTTGGAATGGCACCAGATAACAAGTTATATGATAGATCCAATATATTCAAACTCAACATCTTGTCCATTTCTTCGGGAATATGCCCTTGAAATTTGTTGTGCGCTAAAGAGAGATTCTGCAAGCCTTCTAGACTTACTATAGTGCTTGGAATCTCACCTGAGAAATAGTTCTTGGAGAAAGCCATCGATGTTGCGCTTTTTAAATAACTTATTTCAAGAGGCAGAGAGCCGCTCAATGAATTAGAAGAAAGGTCAAGCTTCAATAGATGTTTGAGGTTCCAGAAACTCACAGGTATGCTAGAGTTTAATCCAGTGGAATTTAGGTAAAGATATCTGAGTGTAGTAATATTTCCTAAGCAATCTGGAATTGCACCACCAATTACAGAGTTGTCATGCAGATCTAAAAGGCCCAAGTTCTTGCAATCACAAAACAGCTCTAGAGAAATTCTCATTCTGTTCCCACCAAGATCAGCAATTTGAAGGTTCTGCAAGTTTTCTATTGAAGCTGGAAATGAACCAATAAGTTGATTGTCATAAAGGCTTAACGTTACTAAGCTGCTTAGATTTCCAATCCCTTCTGGAACGGTTCCCTTGAGTTTACACTTGTTAGCGTAAAAGTATTCAAGCGTGGAAGAAAAGTTTCCAATAGAATGAGGCAAAGTGCCATCAAGTGGATTATCACCTACATTGATTTGCTTCAGATACTTGCAATTAGTCAATGTGGTAAAGATGTTTAAAATGGGAGAGGAAGGATCATTGGTAAAATTGTTGTGTGGGAGATCTAAGATTCGAAGTAATCTAAGATCTCCCAAGGAGTTGGGAATAGGGCCTGTGAAATTGTTTTCTGCAAGCTCAAGAATCTGAAGATTTGAGCAATTTGAGATTGAGTTGGGTATAACTCCACCGATGTGGTTCCTATCAAGATAAAAGTTTTCTAAATTAGGAAGGGTGTAACCCATTGTTATAGGAAGATTGCCATGAAGAATATTTCCTCCAAAATCGATTGACATTAAGGTTGAGATGTTGAAGATATCTACAGGAATAGAACCGGTTAACTTGTTCAGGTGGAAGTTGATTTGTTGAAGATTGGATAACTTCCCCATCTCTTCAGGTATAACTCCTAAAACAAAATTGATGATATTATGACATCATTGACATGAAACAAAACATGCAAATCACTTCAATTTTTGTTTGAGCACTTTGAGCATTTATTTTATGTATAGTTCTAAAATACTGTATCGACTTTTTATAGAAGTCCACTTTGAGAAAGGGATTTTAATATTTCTTACATACACTTTTTTTATGTGTTACTGTACAGTGTTACAGAGTTAGAATCTACTGTTCCTACAAATTCATATCGAACTTTGAAGATTTGTTTTTGGAGACAAAATCTTACAAATGTTTTTCAATTTTTATTAAATGCGTATACCAGGATACATCATAATTATGGTCTGTTGATCTAAAAATGTTGAATGACCTCTCAAAATACGTACCATCAGTTCAGAAAAACGATGAACGTCGTAGTTTAATATTATAATGTGAAATACCTGTCAGGTTGTTTTGGCCGAAGTCCACAATTTGCAGCATTGACAAGTTCCCAATTTCTTCAGGAATTGCACCTTGGAAAAATTGATGTAAAACTTAAATAAATAATGTACTGATCAAAGTTAAGGTGAAAAATGATTAGGAAAATTAAAATATTAATTTACTGGTATAGTCAAACGTGACCCTGAATTTGGTTGAACCAAATTGACAAAAAACAAGAATCAAACCATAAGTCATCAATTTGTTCTCTACGTAGACGCAAATTTTGCATTAAAAATCATAGATCCAGTAACGAATATGAAAAAATATATGAAGGTTAAGATTATTCATTATTCGTCCCGACTGGAACTTATAATGTATGTTGTACTCTATTATTTATAGTTGGGAGGTCGGAAAAAAGGACGTTTTGTAACTAAAAAGCATACTTATAATATTAGGATCAATAAATTAAGGTAGCTGGATTACCTTCCAGCCAGTTCCGTCCAAGTGCTAGAACCTCCAAACCTTTCAGCTCTCCAATTTGTTTTGGAATCACTCCAGTAAGTGAGTTGAAACCCATGTACAGACTCTGAAGCTGTGAACATTCCCCTATGCTTGATGGTATTCGACCAATTAACCCCATTTGTTCTAAATCAAGCAATTTGAGCCTCGGAAGATTCTGACACATATTCTCCGGAAGGGAACTAGCTGTAAACCCATTTACACCCAATGAAACTATTTCCAGCGCGGACATGTTAAAGATCTCTGTCGGAAGGTTTCCGCGGAGATCGTTGTATCCAACGTATAATGTCGTTAACTTGGACATGTTAGAGATGGATGTCGGGATAATCCCAGTGAAGCTGTTGTTCCAAAGGGACAAGTATTCAAGCTTTTGAAATGAGCCAATCCAAGGTGGGAAATCTCCATTGAGATTGTTGTCGGTGAAATCCAGGACTTTTAGCCGTCGGAATTTTGAAAACTGATCGGGTAATTCTCCGTTGAAATGGTTTCCCTTCATGTTGAGAGAAACTAGAAATGAGAGATTCCCGAGTTGGGGAGGTATGGTACCGGTGAGTTTCATGCCCGAAAGATCTAAGGCGGTGACTCTGTGATGTCGGGACCCACAAGTGACTCCAATCCAGTCACAAACAGGAGAACCAAGTGTCCAGTTTTTAGACAATACTTGGTGATCAGAATCAGAAATGATGTGGGATTTCAAGGAAAGAAGAGCAAGCTGATCCGTGGTGATATTGGTAGTTGGAATCCTCCTGGCTAAGCAAAATGCGGAAAAGCATGGTAACAGAAGGACAAATAATATAAGAGGGAAATGCATTGTGACGATATTTGGCATACTGTCTTGTGAGTGCGCAAGTTTTCAGTTCTCCCAAACTATTCACTCAAGAGATTTTGTATTATATACTCCATCCATTTCAAAATGTAGATAGTTTTAGGTTTGAAGAAATATTTTAAAATGTAGGTAGTTTTAGAATTTCAAGACAAATTAAAGATTAACTTCCCAACTTTACCTTCAATACATGATGTTAACCATTTTTCATCTAGTTTTGGTTGTAGTTCCAAAACAATTAATGAAGGGCAAAATAAACATTTAATACACAAATTAATCATTAAATGATTGTCTCCTTAGTTTACGTGTAAATACTAAAAAGACTTAGTTTTTGAAATGGAAGGAGTACTATAAGTTTAAGTGTTTAACAGCCCATAATATAATGAATACTCCTGTCATTTTGAAAATGATTGTCATCTTTAAAATAACGAACAATTATTTCAAACTGGAAATATTACGTGCATATTGAAAAATAGAATAGATATAAGAATATTGATCGAAAAAGCAACCGATGTTGGTTGAGATATCATTAATTCACACCACCAACCTAAGTTAATCAGTATCAATGAATTGAAGCAGCATTGAGTCAATGAGTCAACTAGAGAGGGTCTATGGTTCCAACTGACCACGAAATGGAGGTTGAATTGTTCAAACATCAAATGTGTTATCCACATTTATATGCACCGGTCACAATAACAGATGTCGGATATCCGTATGAATTATTCAACACTTGGCCCCATTTACATTTAGTAACGCTAAAATGGGGAGACTTGAGTCATCAAGCTTATTCACTATATATTTTATATGGATATGCAAATATACAAGTTTGAAACACATACACATTTACACAAACACATCCTTACCTTTTCATACGCATGCATTTTGTTTTTTTAAAACACATACGCATTTACACAAACACATCCTTATCTTTTCATATGCATGCAACTTGTTTTTTTCTTTTAAAAAAACAAAGTTTACATTAAAAGTTGTTGGCATTCAGTCAACTTTGATTGCTAAAAAAAAATTAGAATAGAAAACCAAGTTTTCACATTCCAAGTTTGGGATTTCAAATAGGGAGCTATAACATGTGCTAAACCATGCTTCAAACGGGAACCTAATATACATTCGTTATTATTTATACGTGGAAGACCTGCATCCGGACTATCTTGATAAGTAAGCTATACAAGAAATTAAGACCGAGCAATGACAGATGGGATTATCTATAGCTAAGTGTAAGGGATAATTCGTGTGATGCCTAGAATCGGAGTGGTCTCACTATTAACCTAAATGTTCTCGGTTACCAAAAAAAATTTAGATGTTTTCCAAATAATAATAATATTGATAATTTCTCATCAAATCTATTTGAAGACAATGTAGCGGTTGGGCTAAAAGAAACCAACGAAATGTTCTGTTTATTGAACACAAAAGGCCCACTAAACTGGCCCAAATTCAAAATAGAAATCTGCTTAATTCATTGACAAATTCATGTCAATTTTATCAGGGTGGTGGTTTGGGAATTTGTACACCTATTTGTATGTAGTCTCTGAGATATTTCCTCTCCTAAAAGATATCCTCAAAACCACGTTTTATTATACTTTATAAAAGACACCTATCAGATTTCTATTTTTTTTTGGTTAAATTGTAAACTTTGTATTGATCAACTTCACAAAAAACAGAACTGTACAGGTGTATAATTACATCTCAAGCATTAACTACTTCTATTCCCAGCCCTAATTTCCTCAGAAATTCAATCTCATTTGACTTCAATTTCTTGCTTTTCAAGCAGTACACTGTTCTCCACTTAACTTCCCATTTGATTCTCTTTATGCATTCATCAACTTCTGTTTTTTCTCCTCTGAACTTCCTGTTCTGTTCCATCCAAATATGATAGATCACTGCATTGAAGCCAGCAAAAGCAATCCTCTTCTGCACTCCCTTGTTTCTCAAAATTTTGAGGACTTACTTTACATTCAGCCTATATATATAACATATAAGCAAAGCCATTTCCTGATCTCCTCCATTACTGCCTCAGCAAAGTCACATTTAAAGAACATAAGCTCAGGCGTTTCAAGTTCATTCATACACAAAACACATTGCTGATCCTCATTTATAATCCTCATCTTTTTCAGTCTATCTGATGTGGCCAGTCGATTCTTCCAGGTCAACCAGGTTATGAAGCTGTGTTTGGGGACTGAGTATGTACTCCATATGATCTTGGCTGCATGATCTTTCCCTCTTTCTCCTCTCAACCAGTCATACCCACTCTTGGCAGTGTGCTTCTTTCCTCTATTTCCTTGCCATTGGTCATTGGTAATACCTGTTTTGATCTCCGCTTGAACCTTCATAAGTTTTTTCCAGTGCCAACTACTGTCTTGTGGAGCTTTGCAATCCCACACCTTCATGCCTTTAATGTATTAGATGTGCATCCATTTCACCCATAGATTTTCTTTCATATTGCTAAGATCCCATAACTGTTTTCCAATCAGAGACTTATTCCAAGAACTTAATTGGTTCTTTTATATTCAGACCTCCCTCTGATTTCTTCCTGCATAAGTCATTCCATGCAACCAAAGAAACTCTCCTTCTATTAACCATATTCCCCCGTAAGTCTACACATTTTAACAATGTTCTGAATTACATTATGTGGGATTAAGAAGATACTTGCTCAGCGGGAATTCAAGTTCATCAACACAACTTTGATCAACAAATATTTACCAACATAAGATAAATGTTTTGATGACCAACTCTTTATCCTTGCTGTAACTTTGTCCTCCATACTTTGACATTCTCCTTTATTCCAAGCTGTTGGTGAGATTGGCATCCCCAAATAATTCATTGGAAAGGTTCCCTTTTCAAATCCTATGATGTCCTGAATTTTATCAACAACATCAGCAGAAACTCCTACGACATACAGATTGGATTTATATATGTTTACTCTTCGTCCAGTAGTAGCTTCAAACTTGACCACTACTTCCTTTACTCTTGCCACTGTTTGCACATCAGTTCCACATAGAATAATCGGGTCATCTGCAAAACTTAAGAAAGTAATTTTCAGTTTTTCACAGTAGGGATGAAACTGAAAGCCTTCCTTTATTGCTTCCAACTTGAAAATTCTGGTAAGATACTCCATTACCATCACAAAAAGTAAAGGTGACATGGGATCACCTTATCTCAAACCTCTCTTCCCTTAAAAAAATCCAGAACTATTGCCATTGATATTCAAAGAGAATGAAGTAGATGTAATACATTCCATGATCTATCCAATAGACTTTGGTGGAAAGCCATTTTCTCTCAGCATTTCATCAATAAAGTCCCAATGAATCGAGTCATATACCTTACCAAGTCACTATAAATAGAAAAGAAGGCTTTTACCAAGTCAAATCAACTAAATCTCATTCACCAAATCTTTGACCCGCTTGGTTGGATTAAAAAATCTTGCAAAAAGAAAAAATCAACTTGAAAATGGAGTTAGGATTTAGGATTAAATTTGATTTGGCTGATTCCTTCTTCCTTGGATTTTTGGTTCGGTTAGGCACTATAAATAGAACTCCTTGACCAAAAGGAAAAGTGCACCCCACCGTAGCAAGCATTAGGTTGCTACTTCCTTCTCTCCATTTTGGCAACAATTTTCTTTTACGCTTTTTAGTTTTTCTTTAGTTTAATTTTTTTTTCCAAACCTTTAAAGATGTTTATAGTCACTATGAGTGGCTAGTTTTCTTATTTTGGTTCAAGGATTTATTCATTTATATTATACGTGAGACTACAAGTTTCACTTTATTTTTTTCTACTTTTAATTTAAGTATCTATTGCTTTTGATTTCTTTTTATGAGAGTAGATACTTGATTAATCTGACAATTTAATCAAGTATTTTCTTTCTAGTACTACCAAATTGTTTATACTGCGCTATTGTCTTAAACATTTGGCACTAAGTAGCACATTATTAAATTATGCATTTTGGTAGTGGCACGTTGAATGTGCATGATTAGTCTATTTAGGAAATCAATAGGACCAAAACTTTTTAACTGTAGCTATCTCAATTATTTTAGTTTTTGGTTCAACTAAATTTTTAAAGTTTTTACTGCTAGTATAATTTAATGTGGAATGCTATCGTGCCCAGTTAAATTATACTAAATTTTAATTAGGTGCTGGGCTTGGTCAAATATTTTTAGAAAATATAAGATATTTTACGACAATCCTATTAAGTCTACGGTTGAATGCTAGAATCGTAGAAAAATAATCTTTTTAGTCAATGATCTATAATGTAATTGAATCCATTCCTTGAACCAAAATTTTCTGTTATTAATTTGCTCTGCAATTCTTTCTAGTTTAATTTGTCATTTTATTTTGAAGAAAGAAAAATCCCCCCATTTTTCTACTTTTATAAAACTAAGAGTTGAAAGACGGCTCTCTTGGGATTTCGACCTGATTCCACTATTTCGGCAAATTAATTTTTGATCTGTTTGGAATTTAGATTAATTTTTGCGGGTCTCGACAAATCTGTTAGAATCACAAAGGGTTAAAAGGAAGTTGATCACCGTCCCCGACAACGGCGCCACTTTTGATGGGTGTCGAATCCACCAAAATAATTTACCAATTTAATACTGTAGTTAGTAGTAAGTCGGGTCGAATCCACAAGGATGGCAGTGACTCTAAATAACCCAAAATGATTCAAGAAAAAGATTGTGGAGAGAGTAATATGAAAATAGAGTACTGAACTGTCACTTTGGCGAGTGAGAAATGTCACTTGACAGAGTGAGCTGACAGAATAGAAAATAGAAAAAGAACCTAGGGTCGTCCTCCACTCCTCTCTATACAGTTGTGTTATGGTTTTATTTGCTCCTTTTGCGTATATGAATTATGTATGATCAGACACATGTATTCTTTATAATCCCTCTCAAATAGAGTAAAGAGTCCTAGATTACTAAATTATCTACCTCTCAGTCAGATTATTGAGATTAATTTAAGCCATTGAGTTCTTAAGCCTCTTTGATCACCGATGCCAAGCACCTAACTTATGTTCATGATTGAAACCAAAGGGTAAATTTCCTCCTTTGTCATAGACTAGTTTAAGCCGTTCTAACGTTATGACCCTCTCAGATCTCCATAACTATGCATGCACCTTTAGATAGTAGATCAGT